ACTACCGCTCGCTTGACTCAATTATCTGTCTCTATATCTATCTATCTGCCATTATCTCTCCTCTTTACTTGCCGGGCTTATATACTAAAAAGAGGGTGCCTAGAACAGACTAGAGTTGCCAGGAAAAGTCATGATCCTTCTAGAAACTCCAGTGTGCATGCTTCCAGCGTCGCGTGACTTCCGCTGTCATAACAATATAAATTTTTTTAGCAATTACTAAGTATCTGGGTATAGATTGAGGACAATAATGAATAAGAGTACTAATAAAAGAGGTGGATAAAACAGGAAGAGTGTAGCTATATAATGTTGAATATTAGAACACTGGTGTGGGAGAGTAAAAAAATAGAATAATCAACAAGGGAGATGGGTAAGATTGCAGTATTATAATTAAGATAAGATATACATCAAGATACTTGTTTGGGATGGAGGATAAAAACTGGCTCATGACCAGTGAGGCAGGTAAAGCAGGAAGAATATTGGTGAGAGAATTAAATGACACAGTGTTATGAAGAATAAGACTTCATTAGGCCAGAAGATGGGCAAGACAGTCAGGTGGTTTTCTTTTACCACCTGACTGTTTTGCCCATCGGAATGCTGGCTATTGAAAAACAGTATTTTTAGTTAACTTTACACAGAAATAATAGTTAATTTGTCTGATTGTAACATATTAACTTGTTAGTTTGTAAAGGTATTTCATTGAGGTGATGAATATATAAGAGCTACAGTGAAAATACTAATAATGAATAGAAACTTTGTTGCCAACTGCTGATTAGAAAATTACCTTAAAAAGTCAAATATTTGTGATTAAGCCAAAAATGATACTGTTGATAGATCTTACTGACATTTTCTAAATCATTATTGCACACTTTATTCCTATATCAAGCATTGTTTTAATTCTATGTTTTTTTATATTTAAAAGGTGTATTTAAGTGATTTGGTTTACTTATCTTTTCAGAACTGTCCCCTGGTGGGACAGCAGTAAGTCTTTACATTTACAATGCTAAAATCAGGGGTTCGATTCCCATTGGTGGACCCAGCAAGTAACCCGATTTGGCTTTGTTTTAAGAAAAACACACAAACAAACTTTTCAGAAGCCTTTCATTGATGATATTTATTTTTTATGTTTCCAAAATAACCTGCACATGGAAATTGTGTTATTTCAGGTCCAACAGCAGCAGCAACAAAACAGTTATCCACCAAATCATCCATTAAGTGGGTCCAAACATCTTTGTTCCATTTGTGGTGACAGAGCCTCCGGCAAACACTACGGAGTTTACAGGTACTTACTTGAACAGGTCTTTTAATGGGAACACAAAAATGTAGCTTTAGAGTTTTCTTCAAAAGGGCTTGAATATTGGTGCCATTTGAATCCAATGTAATAAGTAATTAAAAATGTAAAGGTGTAAAACAGCTTATAAGCAATAATGGAATGGAATCAGAATAATGAAAATTATTTAAAAATAAAACATTTTGATACTTAAGTAGCACCAATACAACTATGAATTGAAAATTTAAGTAAGCCATTATGGATCAGTTACTGAAACTGTACATACAAATGTTCTTTAATATCTGTTTATAATTGGAAGAGCATTATCAAATGTATTAGAGAAATACTGTAGAGAACAGCATTGAAAAAACTTAAAGTAATAGATAAGATGAGATATTGGTTAATATTGGCTATTTAATGCTAAGAAACTAGTAAAATGCAGTGGTATGTCCAAGAATGTGCATATGAACAGTTGGGCTGACATCTCCACCAATGTCATACAGATTTCTATGTCTTGTAGAATGGTTCTATAAATGATCTGTAATATAGAGATGACATTCTTAAACATTACATGCAGCTATATGCTGTTGCCCTTGGCAATTCCTTCATCCTAATGAGTGGAAATGCCAAACCACATGGAGTCAGTACTGTGAACAGATACCTTCAGTCCAATGGAACTGAAAGATTAGATTGGTTCAGACCTTTGCCCAATCAAATACAGTGTGATATCCTGGGGAGATGTGTAGCAGACCAAATTCACCCATTTCTATCCCTCTTCCAGTTGGCAGTTGCTCTTCATGAAGAATATTGTGTAATTCCATAGGATTTAATTAGCTACTTCATTGAGAGCATAAATAATCGTTGTAGAGCATGCTTAGCAGCCTGGGATGGTCATATTCTTTATTAGTGTTCTTTTTGACAAATATTTTCTTATTTCTACACCATCATCTATTATCACACACATTATTTATCATTATACCATTTTTCCAACTTTCTGCCTCAAGTTTTTAAACAGTAAATTCATTTTTATTAACTTTGGATGTAGGCTTCAACTGTGGGAAGCTGAAGTTACATAAATATTAATTAGAATTTTCTGAATATTATTATTATTATACACCCTTATAAGTTAGCTCGAGGCCTAGTTTAACATGTTTTACAATTAAGGTACATAAAATATGTAACTTATTTTTCTTTATTTTCTTGTATGAACGTTTTAACATCACTTTCCTGGACTGTAAATTTCTTACATTAGTTGAAACTTACTGGAAATGACAATATATGACAACATTATTATATGTAATATTTTTCTATATATGTGACATTTATTAGCTATTTATGAGAAAGAGCCTAAAAACACTTAAAAAATTCTGCTTAATTTTTCCAAAAAATTACTCAGCTCCATTTGTCTTTTTAAATTAGACACTTAACAAGTTAGTTACTTTCATTGTATCTGTTTACATTCTAAGAAATAGTAATAATAAAGTACATCTAATATTCTGTTTATGTGTTAGTGAATTACTTAAAACAAGGAAGAAAATTTTCAGATGTTTATTCATATTTAACAAATTGGTACTTCCTTTTCAAGATAGCTGTAGTTTTATATCATATTTAATTTGTAGTTTTTCTTTATATAACATGCTTATTTGTTCATTAACAAAAATGAGAAATTTATTAAAACATTTTTTCAATTGTTCTCATAAACTGTAGATCAACCAGTAATTAAATTGAAATAGCAAAATATCTATAAACAATATATAAAGAAATGGTTTTGCTCCTAATATAACTTTATATATATGCACGAGTGTAATATATGATTTTTTATCTATATTAAAACTTAAAAAAGGTGAAGTAATATGTTGTATACATATTTTTTTAGCAAGCAATGATAATCAAATCATTTTCTCCCATCAAAATGATATAAAAAAAACAACAGATCCTAAGCCTTTTGATTAATTTCTGAGTTCATCAGACATATTTGTGAGTGATCACACTATAATAATCCAAAAGATATGACCTGTTACCATTTGTAATCTAAACAAGTATTGAATGTTTAATGTATATAATTAGAAATTACTTTTGAAAGTCTTTAAAAGGAATTATTTAAAAGAACAAATGATGTTACATGATAAAACATTCATTGTTTCTTCATGTAAAACACATCGTGTAGAATATTCTCACATTATTTATATATGACTTTTTAGAAGTTGTAATGCTTAGATGGTGTTTTATGTGCTCAGAAATTCCTAAACTGAACACTTGGTTAGCAGTATGGGTGTAAAATTATACATAAAATTACATTATAATATTTTATGCATAGTGTTTTCTACTTCAACATTTATTTTACATTCAGGTATGCTTCAAGGATGTTCCAGATTTAACCTACATGAATATGTTGAATTAAAACATTAATTTGTTAAATATTAAAGTGCTTGTATTTTAACCATTTCCATTTTGAGGAAAGTAAACAGTTCTCTTGAAAGTTCTTTAGAAAGCACTTGATGAGGAAGTTGCTTGGTTATTTCATTTCCAGATGTCAAGGCCAGTGCTAGAGGATTTGCTGGAGTGGGCTATGCACCCCCAAATTTCACTCTAGCTTACCCAAGTTCATTCTCCCAAGCAGTTAAAAAAATCATTTTATGGATTTAAAAAAAAAATGCTAAGAAGAGTCAACAAAAGCTTCTTTGATGCCCAAAAGAGAGGAGCTGAAATCAATCCTGCTAGATGTTCTCCTTGGAAGTTAAAATCCTCCAGTGATTACTAAAAATCCTGTTTCATGAATTACCAGAATTCCTTGATTTGTCAATTATTCACAACCAATGACATGTAGTTTAAACTATTAAACCTCAAACTACTGACTTATTTGTATACCATTCACTACCAATTAGTTGCATGTATTGCATCATATTCTATAGTTTTGTTTTTTGCCTGTTACAAAACCCAGTGTACAAAAAACTCCAAACTATTGGGTCAAATAATTCATATTTTGTGTAAAATATGTAGGGGAACACATGGGTAATTAGTGGGATTAATTGCGATACTTATAGTATTTTTTGTTCAACTTATTATGTTATTATTGCTATTATGACATTATAACCAAGTGTCATGGATCCACTAATAAGTTGAGGCATAAATAGTTTAGGGAAATGTGTTTAAAAAGCCAGTGGAGTAATTTCAGTAATTTTCTGGTTAATACAGATAATTTTGTCAGTAAAAATTGTGAGGTTTTCGTATACACTTTAAACCCTGATACTGTCCATCAGATTAGGCTTACACATGTACCTTAAAGCCTGTTTTCTCTATGGAAACTTTTTGTTCAAACAAGATAAGAAACTATTTGAAAATAACTTTTGTAATATTTTTTGCTTGTTGTTAAGTGCAAAACTATGTAATAGATTATCTCCGCTATTCCCCCAAGAGTATCTAAACCTAATTTCTAGCATCATAAGCTTTCAGACTTACCACTGAGCCACCAGGAGGGAGGTTTTTGTAATAACTGTATAAGTTAATTAGGAAGTTGCGTATTCAGTTTCCTCTCATAAAAAGTTTAAAAATTGCAGATAGATGATATAATGCTAAATTATATTTTCTGTTCTTTAAGTATTTAAGTCAATAAAACAACCTCTTTCTGTAGAAGACAGAAACTTCAAAAAGATAAAATGTTAATAAAACTTTCATATTCTTTAGATATAGAAATAACCAAGAGAAAGTTGGGTAAAGTCAGTGTAAAAAAAGCATGTGATCTTGATTAACATTCAGTACTGTATGATAAAATACAAAATGTGAGTAACAAGAAAATGTAATGTGGATAGAGGAGAGGTATCCACTTTTATAATAATCTTTTGTCAGTAATTTTGTACTTTACAGGTATGTTGCACTTGTTGGTGCCAGTTAAATCAGGATTTTTTTTATGTTTTATTTGCATTATCTTTTCAAGTTAAAAAATACAGTTGGTGCAACTTTTCCAGCAGGAGCTTAAATTTTGTATCTTAATGATTTAATTACGTGTATAATTGTTGGATATTATTCAGTTGTATCCACCCTGTTCTGCATGGATGTCTTTGAACCCATAATCTATTTTAAAACCATTAGTTTTGAATGGAAATAACCATGATGTTCTCTAAGTTTACTTTAGAGTTCAGTATTTGTAAATGCAAAATAATGTTTCTTGAACAATGAGAGTAGGAGGGCAGAATAATTTCCAAATAATAGATTCTAACCACTTTATCTCAAAAAAAACTTGAATATATATATAACTTCACTTGTTTTTGACTTGATATTATCTGTAAAGTCCTTGTGTTGTAATGGTTTACCATAAATTTGCTGAAGTAAGTGTTATTTATCCATAAACAATGACTTAAAACATTAATTAATTGTGTGCAACAGTGAATTTGAATTGTTTTACCATTTATATTTTAGTTGTGAAGGCTGCAAGGGTTTTTTTAAGAGAACAGTTCGCAAAGATTTGACTTATGCTTGTAGAGAAGAAAGAAACTGTATTATTGACAAACGTCAGAGAAATCGTTGTCAGTACTGTCGTTACCAAAAATGTCTGATGATGGGTATGAAACGAGAAGGTAAGTCTATGCTTTCAGTGGAAACTAATAGCCTATGATAAAATGTATTATAATAGAATACTTAACCATTTCATCATTTTTGTGTAAATTTGCAAGCAATTATCTACCAATTTTTGTTCTTTAATACGTTGTTCACATTTACAACTAGCACACTTGTTATTTATTTGGGTGTTGTTTTCATTAAGTACAATATTGTTTTGTAACATCACAATGTAACTGGGTATCAAAATCTTTCCCAGGCTACTGTTAACCATGAGTATAAGATATAAATAAATTTTAAAGCCGAATCAAAATTTAAAAACACTAACATATATTAGTTCTCACAATATTATATGTCCAGGGTCACAAAATTTGTTTTTAAAATTACAGTAGTGTGTTTCAGTTAGTAGTTCTTAATGTCTTCAGTGCACAAGTATTTTAACGTTTGTTAATTCAGATATTAAAACTGTGTGTACAAAGATAAGGGCCAAGTGATTATTATTTAACTACTTATTAATTAAGGGAAATTTTCTTGAGGAGTGTGATTTTTTTTGGGGGGGTGGAATCATTACACAGTTCTCAGCTGTAAATAGATTTGTGAAAATAGGAGTAACTGCGTAAATTTCTATAAAGGTGTTATTAGTCAATATTATGATATGTACCCCTGTCTTTAAACTCATGACATCTGATAATTTAGTATTACATCATTGTTCAGGTTTGTATTGCTATAAATTCATAAATTTCTGAACCCGATTCTGACATTGGTTGCAGTAAGTTGATCTGTTCACAGTTTGGTTAGGTGTGACATCTGTAGTATCTTTTATATTTTACATGAATTGAAAGATTGTAATTTGAACTAACTGTATGTAGAGAGTATCTGATTGCTTGTTTTTGTGATAAGTTTATAATTTTTGTAAGTTGAAGGATTTAATTTCAATTTGATTTTAGTTTTAATGGAAATAAGAAGATTTTAGAAAGTTTCACAAATTCCAAGCATTTTTTATAAAAGTTTGAGATGTAGAGAGGAACCTGTTATAGAAACATTTGAGCTTTATACAATTTAAATCCTATTAGTTTTTTGAAAGGAAAAACGCATTTACCTAAAACATTTCCTATTAATCCACTAGTATCAAAGCTACAAGTGCAGAATGTAACTTATTGAAGTGATTTGAGTATTTTAGAACTTTTTAAATTTTTTGTATCTGGTTATCAAGATTTAAAGAAATTGAATTTTTCATACAATTCAAGTAAAAGATGTTTGTTGGCCTTACCATTTTCTTGTGTACTGTATCTTATCTTCTTATAGCAGTACAAGAAGAGCGTCATAGAACAAAAGATAAAAATGAGAATGAAGTGGAAAGTACATGTAATTCTTCACACGACATACCCATAGAACGGATCTTAGAAGCAGAGCTTTGCGTTGAACCCAAAAATGAAGAAATAGATGTGAATGTAAGTTATTCCTTGTTTGATACATGACTTAAAGCAAAGTGAAGTTAGTTATGTTACTATATATATATATATACCTTGTTATTTTATGTTGTTTGGTAAGTCTACATTATTGTTACATTGATAATAATCAGTAAGAAGCTAAACATAGATATTAAGGTTGCTGTTAAAGTCATTTAAGGTATGTAATTAGTGTTGTTTCCTTTTCATAGTGGATTAAAGGTGAAATTAGAGTCTGAATTATGAAATTCAAGTAGATTATCTATCTGCCCTTATTTTGGATGAGCATTAAATTTGACAGAATGAAAAAGTATAAAAAAAATTTTTGCTTTTCCAGTTGCTAGTCTATCTTGAATACTGTGCTCCTAGTTTATTGGTTTTAAATAAAATTAAGAGTGGCCTAAGTCAACAGAAGTAAACATTGCTTCTTTCATCAGGTGTTCCTTATTCTTTCATGATGGTTTTTAATAAAAAATCACAACTTTCTTTAATTAACAAACCCAAATTAAAGCATTAGGAATAAATGTTATTTTAGATTGAATAATTAATTCTAGCTGTCAGCAGAGGTTATTTGTACACAGAGAAATATATATATAAGTTGCAAAAGAGAAGACTCTAAACCTCCAAAAACAAACAGTTTTAGCACAAGACCTACATTAGGTTATAAAATCAAACTAAAATGGTTATAACATAAAACAACTTTTGACAGTTTTAAGGGCTTTTTCTTTCATACATTATTGTTATGAACACTCTCAAAGGTGCTGAAAAAATCTGACTGATAAATCTGTTTATAAAATCTAAATATTTTACGTTGATAAGTATTATTTTATGTATTTAAGTATCATATACAGATACAAAGAAAGAGAGGGGTATTTTTTGTAAATGTTTTTTGCAGAGTGGAAGTATAAAGTAGTACACATAACTCTGTATTGTGTATAAATCTGAATAATTATTGTAATTAAATATTTTTT